CGTTATCCTACCGACTCATTCAGCAGATGATAACCTCCAATCCCTCGCCTCGCTACATGAAGGAGGTCGTGCGAGCCTTCCGCACGGGCGCTTACCGCGGCGTCGAGTTCTCCGGGCGCTACGGCGATCTGGCGGCTACGATCTACGCTATCTTGATGGATCACGAGGCGCGCTCGCCCATCGTCGAAGCTGATCCCACCTTCGGCATGTACCGAGATCCGTTGGTCAAGCTCTTGCATTTGATGCGCTCTCTCGACTACCAATCGCCCAAGCAGCGCGAGGTCGCCTTCGCCGACTTGGACGATCGCCTCGGCGTTCAGCCGTTCTCGGCGCCTTCGGTGTTTGGTTTCTACCTGCCCGAGTTCAGACCAGCTGGACCGGCCGACGAGCACGGGCTCGTAGGCCCGCAGCTGCAGCTCGCGACGACGCCCAATCTGATCGGTTTCCTGAACGGCCTCACGTCTCTGATCGATCATGGCCTCACTTCGTGCGAGAACGGATTGGGGGTCTACGGACCATCGCGCAGATGCGTCGCTACGGGACCTCATCCTACTGCCGATGGTTCTCTCACCTACACCATGCCCATCAATGGCACCGTGAACGACCTCGTAGATGAGCTCAGTCTGGCCCTCACTGCGGGACGCCTCCACCGAAGCACGCGCGAAACGCTCGTGCGCGAATATCTCAGCGTCCTCGGTCCCAACGTGACGGTCAACACGACAGCCGCTGCGCTCAGGCATGCCCTCAAGGTCCTCGTGACGAGCGCCGAATTCCAGACGACGAGCTTCAATTCGATCAGCAACAAACCGCGCCTGGAACCGGCACCGGTTGCCTCTTCGGGCCGCGCTTTCAAGGCCATCGTGGTGGTCTTCGAGATGGGTGGCGCCGATAGCTTCAACAAGCTCGTCCCTCACTCGGACTGTACCGGGAAGGATCTCTACGCCGAGTACGCTACCGTCCGCGCCGGTGCCGCTCTGGATAAGACCTTGCTTCGACCGGTCAGCGTTCCTGCCGGACAACAGCCTTGCACCGTCTTCGGTGTCCATCCGGCGATGTCCAACCTTTCGAAGTTGTACTCCGACGGCGACGCTCTGTTCGTCGCCAACATCGGTGCGCTCGTCGAGCCGACGACGAAGGAGCAGTACAGAAAGAGGACCGTGACTCTACCGCCATCGCTCTTCG